TGAATAAATATATTTTCTGAATAATTATACTTAAACCTCTTTTTTCTTATCCTTATTATTTTATCTTAATTACATGTTGTTTAGTCGTTTAGTCATGTCCGACTCTTCGTGACCCCATGGACCAGAGCACGCCAGGCACTCCTGTCTTCCACTGCCTCCGGCAGCTTGGTCAAACTCACGTTCATAGCTTCGAGAACACTGTCTAACCATCTCATCCTCTGTCGTCCCCTTCTCCTTGTACCCTCAATCTTTCCCAGCATCAGGGTCTTTTCCAGGGAGTCTTCTGTTCTCACGAGTTGGCCAAAGTATTGGAGCCTCAGCTCCAATTACATACCATCAATTTTTATTGTTTCACTTCAAATTTCCTTCCATAAACTTTATCTTATTTTAACTACTTGCAAGTGTTTAGTCAAAGCCTGCCAATGTTTCTACTTGTTTACAATATTTTTGTACATATACAATAAATGCCTCCCATTCTTTTTTAATTTCTCAATGTCATTGTCTCTGAGCTTTTCTGTAAGTTTTGCCATTTCTGCATAGTCCATCATTTTCAATTGCCATTTTTCTATTGTTGGTATCTTATCTTCCTTCCACCTGTGGGCTAGTAAGATCCAGGCTGTTGTTATTGCGTACATAAACAGTTTTTTCTTTTCCTTTGGGATTTGATTTTCTGTTATTCCTAATAAAAACGCTTCTGGGGTTGTTGTTTTTTGAAAAGGTCATTTTAAAGATTTTCTTCAGTTCATTATATATCATTTCCCAGTAATTTTTAACCATTTTACACTCCCACCACATATGGTAAAAAGTACCCTCTTTTTCTTTACATTTCCAAACCTTGTTAGAACTTGTTCTATACATTTTTGCAAGTTTTACCGGTGTTATGTACCAATGATACATCATTTTCATATGGTTCTCTTTCAGTGTTGTACATGCAGTAAATTTCAAATCCACCTTCCAAAGTTTTCCCCAGTCATTCATTTGGATATTATGTCCCAAATCTCTCGCCCACTTTATCATCACACATTTAACCTCTTCATCCTTTGTTTCCCATTCTAACAACAAACTATGCATTTTCATCAATAGTTTGGTATTGTCCTCTACAATTTCTCTTTGAAATCTAGATATTGTGTAACTGAATGCTCTTTTTTGTCTTCTTTAAATGTCTCATTTAATATTTTCAATGAAACGAGAAAACTGGCTACAATATTTTCAATTTTCTATTAAAGGAAGTTTGTTATTTTATACTACGCTCCCCTAGATTGGGCCTCCAGCTCTCTGGGGCTACAATTCCCATCAGCCCAAGTCAACAAATATACTCACAGTGGATGAAAGCAACTTGGGGGATATTTGGTACTCGCACAACTATACAGTAGTACCTTGGGTTACATACGCTTCAGGTTACATACGCTTCAGGTTACAGACTCTGCTAACCCAGAAATAGTGCTTCAGGTTAAGAACTTTGCTTCAGGATGAGAACAGAAATCGTGCTCTGGCGGCACGGCAGCAGCAGGAGGCCCCATTAGCTAAAGTGGTCTTCAGGTTAAGAACAGTTTCAGGTTAAGTACGGACCTCCGGAACGAATTAAGTACTTAACCCGAGGTACCACTGTAGTGGGTTGGGAGGGTGTTTCAGTAGAGAAATGGCACAAGGGAAAACATTGTGAAGACCTTACTTCCATGCCTACACTAGTAATCTACTTCAAATTGCAGTTTTTGTGACTGTATTGTACTAAAAAGGAGGTTTCTCCCACAAAGAGTAACAGAATGACACATAATGTACACGTTTACCCATAGCCTTAGAAGCTCACCTTAGAATTTGAAAGGGGTGGTGCGGGCGAACACATGATATCATTCTGAATGAATGTCCATTCTGCCCGAGGACAATAACATATTAAAATTAAGTTCACAGAAACTAAATCCATTGAAAAAACAAAACTCAGCCGTTATTGAAAAGGGTGCTAAAAATGGTTATAGCTCCAGGGCAGCGGTAATGAAGGGGAAACAAGTTAGGCTGGTTTGAGATTATTCAGTTTGGTATTTATGTCTGAAGTGGCTGTATAAGGAGAAGTGGCATGTTGTAATACTCCTCCCTCATGTGGTATGCACTTGGTTCCACATAAGCCACTCTGCTTTACAAGGGGTAAGAAGGAGTCTTCTGTACAAAAAACAAATGAACACCCTCTTATGTTGGTTATCAGAAGCAATTAATACAGTCCACTGACCACTGAAGATGAGGAAAATAATGCTATAGTACTAATGTTCAAAGCACTTTACCTATATTATTTTTAGTTCTCTGATTTTATTGAATGTGTAGATCAGAGTTCAGCAAACCTACCATGCCTCGGGCCGGTGTCTCCAGCACCGATCGCACGGCAGGTCGGAGGGCGGGGAGTGCATGCCCATACGCATGCGCACATGCTATTTCCGGCACACTTCCGGGTCAGAGGAGCACTGGAAATAGCTTGTGCTCATGTGCACAGGCCTCCTCTGACCTGGATGTGCTCCGCAAATAACTCTTGCACATGCGCAAATAACGCTTGCACATGTGCACAAGCTATTTCTGGTGCTCCTCCAACCCAGAAGTGGGCAGCTGCGCAGCGCAGTACAGCGCCGGTAAGAGCGGGCAGCGGGGGTTGTTGCGGGCTGGATAAATGAGTCCATCTGGCCTTATCCAGCCTGCAGGCCTTAGTTTGGGGACCCCTGGTGTAGATCATGCTTAAAAATTGTTCCAAAGTGGTGTAGGACCTGGAAGGCATTTTCAATGAAGACTTTGTCCCATGCTCAACACCATTAAAATGACACAAACTTTGCCTTATTTATTTACATGAAGTTGTCATGGTAAAAGGCTACATTTGGCCACACTCGGGCAATTTGGTTTTGGTGTGTGTTACTTTGAATATTTTTCCTTGAAAGCCACACTGGCCCTCTAACAAGGTGGTCTCATCCAGTAAGCTCCATCACCCAATTATCTAAGGCAGATAATAGTTGATTAGGTATCACTCCTCCTTTGAGCCAATGGTAGGATGTAACTAATGTAACTAATGTAACTGTGTAACTAATGCAGAGGCCTCACTTCCCTCACTGTCTGCAGTTTAAGCAAAAAGCATCAAGATTAGATGATTTATGAATGCAAAAGTGCTTCTTACAATGCAAACATATTAAATCCTAGGAAGCAAGAATGGTGTGCGTTAGGGGGATGGTTTTGAGTCTCCATGATGAGATTGGTTGGCAAAAATCATTGCACTGTTTTTGCCTTGGTGGCTCTTTGCCACGTGGTTCCCCTGGCAATAAATTCTATTAAGTATAGATGAAATCATCATTGCAATTGCTCATGAAAAGGTAGGACAAATGGCTTTTGGGAAGATTTCCAGCAAAAAGATGTTGACAAGAGAGGTTTTTGCACTAAGAACATAAAGACTGCTGTGCTGGCTTAGACCAAAGCAAAGCTTCATCTAGTTCAATGCCTCTGACCAGCTAAATATCACAATATAACCAATATATCAAGATGTTTAAAATAAGGATGGAACAATAGAGGCGAACAGTAGGGCCAGGTGATATCTGATTTTCAACTTTGTGATATATCAGCTAAACATCATGATATACTGATATATCACAGTGAATGAAATAAGGATGGAGCTCCATAGAGGTATTGGTTGGCTTCATAGTATTCCCCACACTCTCATTTTTGCATAGCACGCACACCCACACACATTCACACCCACACCACGATTCATTATATATTGCCAAGTCAAAAACTACGAAACCAATATCACGATACGGACTTTAGTTTTGGACTATATATTGATATATCACCCAGCCCTAGCACTGACCCAGCAGGTGGTAATCAAAACATAGAAGCCTTGTTTTGGTCATGGTTAGCAGCCATTGATAGGCCTATCTTTCATCAGTTCCTCCAATCTTTCAAAAGTGGTGCATAAGCTAACAGCTTTTGCCGGGGATCTGCATCAAGGGTTGGGTTGCTTAGGAATCTGCCAAGGGCCCACATCCCAGCAGGGGGCACATGGATAAGAGCAGCCTGGTCCTGCTGCCCACAGACTCCCTGAGAGAGGGGAGACCATAGGATCGTGGGAAGATTCCTTCTTCAAAGTCAGAACATTGGTCCATCTAGTTCAGCATTGTTTACATTGACTGGCATCAACTCTCTAGGATTTGAAGCATAGTCTCCCCCAGTCCTACTTGGAGATGTCAGGGAAAAGCGGATCCTCTTCATGCAAGACAGATTCTCTAAAACCAAGCTATAATCCTTTTCCCATCATGACTCATGGAGGGCATATTGCCCCAGAGCCATCCAAAACTTGGAATCAACTCTGTTCACTGACATGTGTTGTGGCAGGGATGGGAAAACTGTGGCCTGCTAGATGTTGTGGAATGCATCTCCCATCATCCTTACTCATGGAGAATGCTGACTTGGACTGATGGGAACTAAGAGTCATCTCTGGGGACTCCGGTTCCCTGACTTATGGCAATACATGTCCTAAGTTGATTGTGCATTGTGTGAAATAGAATTTCTAGGGTTGCCACATGTCCAGAATTTCCCGGACACATCTGGAATGCTGCATTTGGCATACAACTTTGCCACCCCCAGCAAGCTCTATAACTTTGCCTAAAAAAGCTCAACAACTTTTCCATCCGGATTTTCAACTCTGTAAAAGAAAGTTTGTGTGTCAAACAGGGAGTGTGAGTGGTAGGACCGCAGGAGCATTGCTCCAATGGAATTTGTTGAGAAATCAGGATGTTATTTGCATATAAGTATCATAATGACTGTCAGTTTTCCTTCATGGCAACAAGCTTTACTTCCTGACTAAGATAATATCCTAGCAACTCCCTCTATTAACTGAAATATTATAGCAACAGTGTTTTTACACAGTGCTTTTACAGCACTTTAAAACTGTTTTCAGGGTGATGAAACAATTCTGTTTTCTAAAATTAAGTCTGGACCTCAGGCTAAGAATATCTGTGGGGTTTTTTTTTTTTTTTGGGAAAACTTCATAATAAACATGAAAGAAAGTTGAGAGTCGAACGAGTAATTACATGCAAGTGATGAAGCCCAGATTATGTTCTTTTTCAATGAATAGCAGCCTTGGGAGGCTGTAGCAGGTGAGAGTCTTTTTAAACATTTCCTCTGCTGGTTATTTTTTCTGCTTAAAATCACTCCCAAGTTTGCTCCCACTCCAGGGTTCTAGATCAGTCAATCTAGAGCCCTCCAGATAATTTGAACCACAACCCTCATCAACCCCAGCCAGCGCAAAGTTGGGGAAAGCTATTTCAGATGCAGGTTTCTCCTTGTAAATACCCCAGAGGAACCCTGTGTTTCAGCCTCCCAGGCTGCTTTTCATTGAAAAAGAACACTGTGAACTCCTGTATTTGCATGCCACGTTGACGCTATCTGTTAGAGTTTCTCTCTTGAAAGTAAAATGACCTGATATTCATTCTTATGCACAGAATAAGAAAACAAATAGTGTGGTAAATCAGGGAACCGCTGACCCACAGACTGAATGTGGCCTTCCGGGGTGTGTGTGGCTTTCTGGCCCTCAGAACTCCCTGGGAAGAGGATGTGTGTGATTACTTTGAGAGTAGCTCTGTGAAGGCTATAGCAGGGCTATAGCGGTTTCCTAACAACTCGCAGCACCCTTAACGAACTACGGCTCCCAGGATTCTTTGGAGGGAGCCACGGCTACTAAAGTGGCCTGTCACAACTTTAATTGTATAGTGCAGATGAGGCTTTAGAGTGAAAGGGATTTTTATTTTTATAGTAAAACCGAAGAAGGCATCAGCTCGCATTGCAAAATTAAATAGGCACCTACGAAGGGCTGACATGCATTCACAAATTTAAGCAAGTGCTCTCCTAGGGCATCTTTGATACTAGTGAATTTGGCTAGATTCAGCTGGATGAAAAAAGAAAGAAAAAAGTTTAGCCTATTTTTATACTGAAGTATTGCCACTGTTGAGGTAATCCCAGGAAAATAAACATACGAGAAACCACAAGAGTATCCAAAGGGAAGACCACAGTGGTGCCTATTTTCAGGAGTATGACTAAGTCCCTTGGGAACCCTCCCTGCTTCCCCTGTTCTCTCAGAAGCGCGGCCAATAACATCCCAGGCCCAGAGACATCCTTAGGTCACAACCGCAAGCACAGGCTCTGAATATGCTGATCAGCAAGGCTTTTTAAAAAAAATCTCCTCTGCACAGGAAAAAAACAAAACCCTGCAGATGGCATCTTATATTTGTCATCAGCCACAAACTAAGATACTTTGAAGAATGGGTCTTGGTGACCCATGAGTTAAAATTTTATTTGGTAGCACATCCCACCCTCTTCTTTATATTGGAACAGGTCACCCTACAAAATGACTGAAGCCCTCCTGATCACTCAGGGAAGCAGGGTAATAATGGCTTGTAACTCTGAGGTAAATACCTCATTAGCATTGAGCATTACCAAGGGCTCCATTCCGCAAACCTTGCTCAGGGCCCTGTTGAAATTCACTTAAGTGCAAATTTAATTGATGCATTGGGGAAATGCTTTGGCAGAGAATCCTGAGTGCAAGAGCAGGCCCCTTCCCAATTTGCCATTAGCGTAATTAAAGAAATAAAGAACAGCCTGGAGAAAAGGCTCAACCTCAAGCTTGCAACTCAGCTCCCTGGATATGGAGAGTTGGCAAACCCTGACCCTACAAACAACTCCCATATCCAAGTGAACAATTATCCTGAGTTCAGATGCATGACTTATCTGAGTCACAGCATCTCTGGTTCCCTCTTCAACATGGCATCCTGATCCCCCACAGTATGGTGGAGTTTGGTACCTGCATACATAGGAGCCAACTCCTAGGGGCCGAGGGGTCTACAGCTCCCCCCCCATTAAATATTTGAAGGTGCTGGGCCCCCCAGTGTTGATGGGCATTGCCATTCAAATGGTGTGAATGCACCGCATCATGTGATTATGTGGGGCGGGCCTTACCTGCCTCCCCAATATTTTATTTAGGTTGGCACCCCTGCCTGCATGTAAGATCTGGGATCAGTTACCTGAAGTTTAAGATCCTCTTTAGAGGCCCTGCTCTGGGTGCCACAGCAAAGGCCTTTTTAGCAGTGGCCCCTTGACTGGAGCAACTTTTCCATCTAGTTCCATTTTTATGCACTTTTTTTTTAATGCTAGGGAATTAAAAAAAAATTACCCAGACTTTTAAAACTGTTTTTAACCCAAACTGTAAATGTGCAGCCTTTATGCAATGAAGTATTTTGCTGTCATTTATTGCTTATTGTTGTTGTTTTTCATTCTTATTGTATATCATTTTTGGAATTTACTGGGCAGCTATATGAATCTATGTAGTAGTAGTAGCAGCAGTAGTTAATATAATTCATAATAGTCCATTTTGACCGACATTGCAGATCTAATAACTTTTTTAGTGGCATGGTTTGTGCAGGAATAACCAAATGTGATTTAGTGTCTTTTGGAGACATTTCTTCCTGTGCTTTTGACTTTGCGCTAAGGTACTTAAGAAGTGCATGAAATTTCCATAAAGATCTAGGTAAAGGGCAATTGAGCAGGTGTTAGCACACCCTTCTTTTATTAAAGCAATACTTTAAGAGATTTGGGTCATTTCCAGATGACCTATTTAATGAGCATTCGGCCGAATTTGCAGCAAGATTAGAAAACTATGGCAATTTAATTAGCATTCATCCTGATTTGTTTACAGGGAGATAGGATGGTGTTGCGTTAAGCAATATGCCACACTTTCCAGTGTGTTTTTCCACCGCTTATTGCAAAATAATAATAATAATAATAATAATAATAATAATAATAATAATAAATCTTCTCTTTTGGGGAAACGCGTTTGTTTTGCAAGAACTGCAGATCGACTTTAATTACACAGCCTCAATTTGCCAGGTTGTGGTTGAATCCCACCTGAAAAATACTGACAGTCTTGAAGCACCCACTGGTTCCCCACTGAGAAATCTTGGTCAGAATATAAATTAAGAGCAAGTATCCTATAAGCTTCTACCTCACCACTGAAAATGGACCTTTATTGTAGTAAAACCATGTCCCTCAAAGACTTACGTACACAGCTCGGAATTGGAAGCCTGCCTTTTACCACACTGGAGATGAACTCTCATAAATTTCTTGACTGTAAGACTCAGATCCTAATATAACTTGGCTATATCAACTGATCATACAGAAATGAGATTATTATTTTTGACTTAAAATATAATTATATGCTGGACATGTCAACAAAATAGATCCATCTCAGTATAATATATAGAAGAAATTCTGATTAAACTCATTACTGGGTGGATATTCCAAGCACAGGGCATGTGGAAAATCTATTTGCTATATGTGAGGATTTCTTTAAGTTTGTTAAACATCCTGGGTTGTCTCCAATGGTGACTTTGTTCTATGATATCTCCTGTAGTCCTCTGTGCCATATCCCATACTATTCTGTAGAGACAAGAGACACGGGTGGTGCTGTGGTCTAAACCACTGAGCCTCTTGGGCTTGCTGATCAGAAGGTCGGCAGTTAGAATATGCGCAACAGTGAGCTCCCGTTGCTCTGTCCCAGCTTCTGCTAACCTAGCAGTTTGAAAGCATGCCAGTGCAAGTAGATAAACAGGCACCACTGCGGTGGGAATGTAAACGGCGTTTTCGTGCTCTTTGGCTTCTGTCACGGTGTTCTGCTGTGCCAGAAGTGGTTTTGTCATGCTGGTCACATGACATGGAAAGTTGTCTGCGGACAAACACTGGCTCCCTCGGTCTGAAGTGAGATGAGCGCTGCACCCCATAGTTGCCTTTGACTGGAATTAACCATCCAGGGGTCATGTACCTTTTTACCTTTTATTCTGTAGAGTTCCCCCAATCCTCAGGGGTACCTTTTGAGGATGTGTAGGGATACAGTGGGTAAGGGTATGTGTGAAAAGAGGGTGCTCCACATCACTTTCTACTAGTGCAAAGCCACCATTGACTCCAGTCTGCTAACAGCAGACCCCAGGAGGAAGCTAACCTCTTCCAATATTTTTCATACATACTATATTTCACTCCTTGCATAGCGTGCCTAAATTAATTAGGAGCCCACATGCACTTCTGGGAGACAAAACAACAGCATAACAGTTGACTAGGGAACGTCTTGACTCATAGTATCTATCCAATCATCAGATAAGGATGTTAAAATAGACATGGAAATAATGACTAATCATATCTGGCAAGTGAAGGATAGTATTTTTGGTTTGGGTTTTTGAGCAAGTAAGGTGTCTTAGCACGTCTTCTTACAATCTCAAGCCTTTAGTTTCGGGGTGGAGAGTAACCTATTTTACAAAGCCAAGGAAAATAAATTATGAGGGTTCTTTTTCAATTGACATGGGATACAGGGAAAACATTTTAGGATACTCAACTGAGAAGAAATTCAGTCTTCAGCTGAGAGCTGGAGTGATCAACAGTGATATTAGTTGCACACTTCTCTCCCCCTTGCTCTTAGCTTTTTCTTTTCCTTGTTTAAAAAAATGCAGTTTGACTTTCATTCCCCGTTTACCAGAAAGTTACATTCACTAGCGGTTTATGCAATTCTGCTTCTTCCTTTGCCTTGATGCCCCATTGCCATCTTTATTTTGTTTTACTTATTTAAAGTATTTCTTACCCATTCTCAATTGCAAATTAAGGTTGCAGATTAAAACAAATTTGGATACATCATACAAGTTCTACAAATCACCCTGATATTGCATTATTGCGATGAACTGTAGCTAGCAGCTCCAGAGACTAAAGACTATTTCAAAAAAAGGGAAGAAGTTGTGTAAAGATTTATTGCTCAGTTTGATATGAAGATGGGGCTCTTGCACTATCACTCACTAATGGGACAATCCTATGCAAGTTACTAAAAACATAAGGTCCCCTGAGCCTCAAGCGACAGCAAAGAATCTAGGAGTACCTCCAAGCTATGAACCTGCTCCTTCAGAGGAAGTGTAACCCCATCAAGAGCAGGCGATCTCCCACCCTTCTGGTCTAGGGAACTACCCACTAACAGTGCCTCAGTCTTATCTGGATTGAGCTTCAGTTTGTTGGCTCTCATCCCATCCATTACTGAGGCAAGACACCAGTCTAGCACTTCCACTGCCTTACCTACAGATGTAAAGGAGAAATAGAGTCAGCATACTGCTGACAACAGAGGTTAACCCCACCCAGCTCTTTCATGTAGATGTTAAACAATGTAAGGTATAGGATTGAGCCCTGCAGAACCCCATATTGAAGGTTCCACAGGGCTGAAAAGCATTTCCCAGGCAACACCCTCTGGGACTGACCATCCAAGTAGGACTGAAACCACTGCAAAGCGGTGCCACCTAACCCTAGTTTGGACAGTCGCTCCAGAAGGATACCATGGCTGATGGCATCGAAAGCCACTGAGAGGGCAAGAAGAATTAACAGGGATATGTTTTCATTGTCTCTTTCTTGACAGAGGTCACCATACAGGGCGACCAAAGCAGTTTCTGTGCCAAAACCAGGCCTAAACTCTGATTGAAATGGATCCAGAAAATCAGTTTCTTCCCAAAGCGCCTGGATGTGGTCTGCACTTGTTCCAGAACATTGGTCAGGAAAGGGAGATTAGCAACTGGCTGGTAGTTAGTTAGGTTTCCCGAATCCATGTTGACCAGTGAGAAGTGGGCAGTCGTTTCACTTGAAAACAGTCATGTATTACTTTTCATTGTAGAGAAAGAGGAGCAGGAATGAAAAATGAAATTCACAAAGCTTTGTGGGTGGCCTAGGCCACTTTGCAGAATATTCTAGCGTGTGCTCATGTCTGCTGCTGCTTTGAAAAAAGAGCTTTTTTATTTGAAGAGCAATGAACCGTCGAGTCAGAATGTTTATATTCATAAATACTGTATCATATTTCTTGACTGAAATAAACAGAACACCCAGATTTCTTCAGAAGTCACAGAATGTTACCAGTGTCTTGCAGTTTCAGGCTAGGGTACCAGGCGAGTGTGATTGTTTTCACGGAATACAAATTTTTTTCTGGAATGTTGAAAATGTCACCTAACTATAAATAGATCTTAGATATACTTACATGCAAATGGGAGTTGCCAGTTTCCCAACACCACCATTAGTTTGGAATAAACATTGCTCCAAAAATATTTTGTGTGCTTACTTGAGAATTCGCATTTAACATCCCCTACCCCCAAGAACAGTGGTCTGAGTACAAATTGTGTATCTACTAGGCCACAGCACCACACAGCAATGCAGCCCAAAGTGAGCATAGGCTCATTTGATATCACATTTGTCATAGTACAATGTGCCTGTGTCAAAGGACCCCTAGATCTTTCAATCCAATGGATAAATGGCACTACAAATGTAATAAATTAAATAACTAGCAGCCCGCCACAGTTTAGCGATGTCAGACTCTGTCCTGCGTTTGGGAGGGGGCTACTCCTCTCTGCCTAACCATCACTACTTAAAATGACTTATTCTGCTGTTGCTGCTGATCAAAGTTTGAGGCGACATGAACAAAAGGAATGAACCAGATAACCAAGGCATCGGGAGAATACTGTACACACAGATATTTGAAAACTAAAATGCTCCCCCTAGTGGCAGACATAGGAATGAGCTCAAATGTGCAAAATTTCACTTGCTTAGTTTCTTCTGCAAAGATATACAGCTTGCCTTTCCTAGTAATCCGCAGTAAATGACAGCAGCACATAAACTGTAGAGGGAACTGAATGAGTCTAGGTTCCAGCCCGAGTCTATACTGCATGTATAACTAATGGTGTATTTGGTGCTTTTCACACACACACACACACACACACCCATCTCAATTATTAACCCTAAGCAGAGCGGGATGTATCATGAGTTTCGTTGAGCCACATGTCTCAGGTGGCAGATAGGAATAGGCAGCAGAATGGGAGTCCTGCCCTGCTCTGCCTGCTCAACTCCCACCGGGCACCCAGAACAAGGGCATTCCTTTGCCAGCCACTGCCGTGCTACTTGGGCTCCCACTGTCTCCAGCTGTGTGCTGAGCACTTTGGCAAAATCTCACAAAACATGTGGTCTTTGCAGCAATTAGACCTGCCACTGCTGTGGGGTGTAGTGGTAGGTTTAGTTCAGTGGATGGAAAGTGGGGTGTGTGCATGTTGAAGACAACACTGTAGCACTGGGAGTGAAAGACATGAGGGGTTACAGGGAGAAATAGCACGGATGGGTACAACACAGAGGCTACCACCAAAAAGCTAACACAGCAGAGCCTCTCCTAACTCTCTTCTTACTGCAGTCAAACCTTGTTTGGAACCACCTCTTTTCTCCTCTCAGTGTCCCTCCCTTCTTGCTCCCATGCCATGGGCAACTGCTGCTGTACAACCTGCCTTCTCTCTTGCATCCTCTACCCCACCCTGGCAAATCCAGGACAGGGATGCAGCACTACAAACCCTCCAATGCGGGCTGCGTGATGACACTCTTACATTTTTATTCTATGCAAGAAATTATCCCTGTACTGCTTTTACTGAAAGTTCAACAAAAATACAGTTTAAAGCCAATATCATAATGACATTATTGCACAACCACATAGAACCACAGAATATAATGCTGAGAGCAAGACGTTTGTACATCAGCAGATAGCTTGTAGATCTTACATCTGTGCATCATCCCAGTTTTACTGAGGACTGACTGAATGCCATAGGGGAGGGGTCAGCAAACTCTTTCAGGAGGGGGACAGTCTACTGTCCCTCAGACCTTGTGCGGGGATGGACCCCCCTCTCCCAAAAGGACCCCCCCACTCACGCCTCAGCCTCCACCACCACCTTGTCTTTGGCAGCGTCATCGTCCTCTCCCTTGGCCAGGGGTCCGCGAGGCGCAGAGCCCAAGCCGCTGGCCTGGGCGGCGGAGGCAGCCTCCCCACCGCTGCTTCCTTCCGCTTTTGGCCATATGCGCCGCCTCAGCAGGAAGGAAGGGGCATCGCCCAGAGGCATCCGTGGCTTCGGATTGGCTGCAGGAGCTTCCTGCAGCCAGTCGGAAGCCGCACCAGTGTTGCCGCCCGCTCAGATGCGTCCACGGCTTTGGATTGGCTGCAGGAGCTTCCTGCAGCCAATCCGAAGCCGTGCCAGCATCGCAGAAGTCAGTCTGCGCTGCACCGCAGGGACTGCAGGGTCTGCAGATTTACGAGCCTGGTGGGCTGCATTCAGCCCTCAGGCCGTAGTTTGCCGACCCCTGCCATAGAGCAAGTCGCTTTCAGGCTCAGTTCTTCATACATAAAATGAATGTATTAATAGCTTGCCTCCCAGGGTTGCAAAATGTATGTTACACACTCAAAGTTCTGTGAAAACAACAGTTAATAGTTATTAACTGCCACAATGTGGGATGCCTAAAGAAAACCTTATGTTATATTGCTTGGGGGAAGA